TTTTTCAACATGTTGGATTAAATGATATTCGGTTTTTCAAATTTTTCATGTACAGAATCAAGAAATATATTGATTTAAAATTACAACTTGAAAAAAATGCAATGTTTTGAATGAAATAACTGTTTCATAATCTTTTTTAGCATTTTCATTTCCATTCAATTGACGAATCTTGTTTAAACAGAGCTTGTAATGTGGTCAATGTTCAATATTGAAAGCTCAATCGCAGGTTTACAAATCCGAATAACATTCTAAAAACGCACCTAATACTTGATACATAGGGGGCGGAATCGATTCATACATTTCTTTGTAGCTCACACATCAAAAATCGTTTTGCAATCATTGATTATATTCATTGACATTTATTTACCAGTCACGTTGGATTGAACACTGAAAGTATCTTGAAAATATTCTGGAGATACATAAACAAAATAAGTAGATTCCTGGTACTTCATCAATAATTTCAACATAAAATGAGAATTCGAAAATTATGAAGAACCCTAAAATACGATTGAAATAAAATTGGAAATCTCAATGTGAAAAAAATTATCCAAAATAATTGGAGATAAAAAACAATGTTCAATGATCCACGAACTTGGGATAGATAGTAATCTGCATTTATATTTCATATTGGTATGTCCATGTTAGCCGCTAAACAGTCTTCAGTAGTCATAGATTCTCATTGAAATAATATTTTGACCTTCTGAACGTTCAAAAACCATCCAAAGTTGATCACTTTATACAACTAAACAATTTCGTTCGTAGCATTCATGCATGGTTGTTATTTCTAATATTATATCACCAACTTTTTATCAGTATGCTCATAACAGCATATGACGTATGTAAGTTTGATAGTTTATTTAAATTAGGCTGTTGTATATTTTATGTTTTTACAACAGACAGAAACTTCATATATTACTATGGTTCTAACAACAATGAGAAAACTACAATAGGTAGGCTAGTGATATAGTAGGCTGATATAAATTTATAAACGTTTTTGAAAACTTCTTGAGGTAGGTATTCTAAAGTTTGAAATAATAAGAAAAATCACTATCACATCTGTTCCTGAATGCCCATTTCATTGAATATTAATTATTTTATGATTCCCTGAGCTTGTCACTGTATAAATGTTTACATATATACAAGGTGATTCAGTGCCAAGTGCCATTTTTTTCTACTCACACAACTAAAATGGCATTTAGCGTACGGATATGTACCACGTTAGATGATCGATTAATCACCGATTGACGATCAGTTATTTATTCAAAAAATTAAACACGTTACCAAGGCAACACCCTTCCTTAAACACATTACCATGGAAACACAGTTTTTCAAACTCACCTTCAGTCGTTTAAGTCCTGGCCGGCCTGTCAATTGTAGGAACTGTCATTGTCTAATCGTGTTGCAATTGGTGACAATGAGAATTTATGTGTGCATCAGAATTCTTCATTAAAAATGCGAAATGTAGACAAAAGTGAAATCAAGAAATGTTACGATTTGCATATTTCCAAGAATTCTGTGTAAAAATGAAGCTCTCATTTTTGTGGGCAATTCTTTCTATGCTAAGCAGGACAATAAACATAAAACATAAAATTTATGTTAGCAAAAATTAGGCAATCAGAATATGGATACAAACATGAGAAATCAAAACCTTCTCAATCACAAATGTTAGTGAGCAAACCATTTTAATAGAAATTCCATAGGATACATATGGACTGGACATATCTACAACCAATATCACTTATATGTGTCTCATTGTTGCATGCAGTTATTATGTTCTCATTTCCTATTTCCTTAGAATTATTTTGTAGGTTAGCAGGTAGGTTAATCTTATTTTCGGAATTGTGGTATCTCATGGAGAGGAATTATTAGTTCATAGAAAAAGTATAGTATTTAATGCGTTTATAAACTCTTTTAGACACTGGTGTATTAAACATTCCCTGAGATCTGCTGTTGTGCTTAAACTAATGTCTACTGAAATGACTTTATTCTTGAGGAATATTACAATGAAACTCTGTTTTTATATTGTTTTTATTTAACTTATAGGTGTAGTCGCATTTTGAACTGTAGAATAGGTTTTAATTCAATGACTTGTAACTTCTGATCAAATGGTGTGTTTCTGTGTTTTTGAATTTTTTAATTGATTATAAAACTATGATTTTTTACCAAACTATTTTATCATACATGAATAATTTACGCAAATCTAGTTCCTACCCAAACACTATGCACCTCAATAATTTTATAGTTTTTCAACTACAAAAAATAATACCACCTCTACTAATGGCCCAGACATTGTCAATCTTTTTGACGACCTATTAGTGTCTATTCTGATAATAATGTAATGAGCCCACATTTCAAAATAAAAATTAAAAACCTAGTTGACATCAATAATCTCCATCCAAGCTTGACTGAAGTTTTTGAGGGTATTCAGAGTTTGAAGAATGAGTATTCCAGTGGCCCTGATGGCATTCCTCCAGTACTATGGAAATTATGTAATTGTACATTAGCCTACCACATTCAATACCTGTTCAACGTGTCATTGGATTCATGATGTTTTCCTGAATTCTGGAAAGTTTTGTCACTCCAATTTTTTATACATGACATGTGAACTTGTTTCAAATTGTGTGTTTCTGAGTATTTGTGTTTTCATTTTAAATTTTTTCCCATCTTTTTAAGAGTTATACAGACTATATTTTGTACAAGCTGTGTCAATTAGAAAGCCTTTTTCTTTGACAATAAAGTATATTTCTCTGTCTCTCTAATATAATATTTCAGTAAAGAAGCATTTTCATAGAAGAGAAAAATTCATCAATTTATAGTGCTTGCCACTAAATCACCTCCTATATGAATTTCATAAATAGGTTCTCTAGAAAACCAACAAACCTAGTGGTACAAATTTGACTTGAATAAATTGTCGATTCTCCTTGAGTCTTTAGAAATTTCTTACACCTTGAGGGTTGTTACAGTATCCATGGTGATAAGTTACAACTTTTGATACAACAGAAAGGATGTTGAACGATTTTATATTCTGATTCATCCATTCATGTTACACAGGGTTAGCAAAAAGTGTATTATCACAATATTTCATGAACCAAAAACAAATGATTTTTATCACATTCATGTTTATGTTTTTTGACAACAGAATGACAAATATATTGGTTGCTAGAGAATAGATGGTGACTATACTGCTCAAAACTTTTGTATTTGATACATAATCAAAATATCCTTTACAAGTATTGCAAAATTTCATGCCTTGCTTCAGGTTTTGGCCTAATAATAATAATAATAATAATAAGGAATGCAGTATGTAAACTAGTGAGAGTTTTACTCTGAGAGAATAACAGAAAGTACTTTTAAATGATCAAATTTTCTGGAGAATTACCATCAACTCATCAATTATTGTTATGTACAAATTGCACAATCATCAGATTTATTATTTTCAAATTCAACATTTTAACAAGTGTATTATGAATGGAAAATAAAATGAGATTATAACCTAACCCGTAATTTATCATCATTGCCCACACTCCCAAAAGGCAATGAAAACATTTTCAAGACAATGTTGTAAAAATAAAAAACATTTATGTATTATAAAATTATGAGAATTGCAAATTCACAGAGAAATAAATGTTTCAAGCCAGGCATCTTCAATAATTCTGAGCTTGGCAGTACAATTAATACTGTACATTTTTCAAATATGCATTGACAGTCAGAGAATATGTTAAATGATTCACATATCAATCACTAATGCATGACAAATAATATTTATGTTGCAGGAAGATGAAATTACTACCTATTTTGAGAAGTAATGTTGCATGATTTCATATTTGAGAAACATTCAAAGAATTGGCATCAACTACCTTATCTGTGTGCAAAAATTGAATGTACCATCATAATTCAACTATATAATGCTGCCTACCCACTGCCAACATATTACTAATGTTCACCTCTAAATAATCCAAGGGCCGGTTGCATAAATCATTTGGATAATTAAATATTAAATTTGTTTATATCCAAGGTAGCATGGCTTAGCTGATGAGATAAAAGGGTTGGATCCTCATTAAGTTGGCAGGGAGGTAGGTATAAATAACTCACCACAAGAGCCTTAGGGATTTTTCACCAAATAATTCAAATTCCAAGTGAGAGCTGGGAAAATGGATATTTGAATGATTTTTCTTTCAATAGTTGTGAAATACTTTGATAAACATGTCCAGAGAGTTGTCTTGATTTGATAGTCACACTATCAAGTTTAGTTTGTTTCAATAACAACTTGATTCATGTGTTATATCTATTTGAATATGTTTAAATATGTATATTTTGTAGTTTCTGTTTTACTTTTTTCTTCTCATCTTAATGTTTGTTTATTGATCACTCAGTTATAGAATGTATAAAATTAGAATGTATCATTCTCATGGTGTGTAAATAGTTTTAAAAAATGCATCCATTCAATCCCTCTTCCAACCTCTCATTGAAAAAATCAAAATTCTAAGTTCTAAGCTCAAAAAATGAATATTCAAATGATATTTTTTTTCTTGAAATGGATGAAGTGATTTACATTAATCAGAAATTAAATTCATAGTATTTCCAGTTCTAGTTGAATGATTCAATTACTGTTTCAACAACCTCAACATCTCATTTGTATTCAGTCAACTCCAAAAGCTTGTGGAGATCACTGATCCTTGATTCTAGAAACCCCAATTTGAGTAGGTATGTACCTAGACTATTTCTAGCACTACTACTTATCATTCTGAGTATCATTCCAATCATAACACCTGTGATCCTATGATTTCAAACTTCCATTAAAAATGCATACCTGTAGCTAGGTATTAGTTCCTACCCAAAAAACTATCAAGTAACTAGAACACTAATCAAAGTTGATGGCAATGTCAAAGTGACATCCTGTTTATATTTGCAAAAACCAATACACCAAACAAATTAAGTGTAATTAGAGCATGAAAATTCAATTAACCAAGATAGCCAAGCCAAATTAATTATTCACTCACCATCTGCATCTACTTCATTGATCATATCCTGTAACTCAGCTTCTGTAGGATTTTGTCCTAGAGATCTCATTACAGTTCCTAATTCTTTGGTGGTAATTGTGCCATCTCCATCTTTATCAAACAATGAGAAAGCTTCTTTGAATTCAGCGATTTGTTCTTCGGTGAGCTGGTCTGCCTAAAAAATGACGACATTTATTAATCATTAGGTACCTATACATATTTAGGTAGGCCATAGCACATACTGGAGTTCCAAGTAAACACCCAATATGCAACAGATCGATACAATATAAGTTTTGGGAATTTTAGCAGAATAAGTTATAAAATTCAATACCAAATTGTTCAAACTGTGTAATGAAAATAAAGTTACTGATGAGAGTTCCGCATTGCGGCAGAACTATTCACCGGTTCGTCAGCAAAAACTATACATAATACGTATACTTCAGACTGAAAACCAGAGAACATCTCGACATTTTTTCCACAAATATGTACATAAAATCAACCTACGGCTATTCTTTTGATGATATACGTCCAAGATTATATCGAATATACACTTACCATTGTGATATTGTAAGATTAATTAGTACACTACAACGAATTATGTCGACACAAAGAATTCACTGACGACGTATACGTTCAAAGTGCGCCAGCCAACTGTCTTTCTCGATCTCGTTTGCTCGTTTCGATTCTCGTTTCTCGATTTGTTTAGGAAAACGTGAACAACGTTGACGTATAAGTGGGGAGAGGGAGGGGAAGTTGCTGCTGCTGCTGCGAAACCACTACAGCGCAATAGTGCGGCTATGACAGGAACCGCCGAAACCGGCCAAAAATTCGATTCAAATATTTAGAGTAAGTCGCCATTGAACTACGGCCAAATTTTTCTCACACATTCATTTCTTTTTCAACTACTGCTGAATTCAAATTCACCGAATTCAATTTGTTCTAACACAATCGAACGTGGATAAACATTGCACATTGATGTGTCATTGCGCATTGTATTCGAAATGTGGGTGCGGCTTGTTTACATCGTTTTCTCACGAGAAAGTGGCTTTTGATTGGTCGGTCTCTACCTGCAATGCGTCAAACAGTCAACGAGCCTGGTTTTCGCGCGCTCTTCAAGTGCGATGCGTCGCGTCGTCTTGCTGACGTTCAGGTGCGGTGTGCGGTAAACGCAATTTTGACGATGCCTATGCGACGTCTCAAACGGAAAAAAGGAATGCGTGGAAGTTCAGTTTGAATATCTGGATAATAATAATTGAATCAGTAACTAAAGGTGAATTTCGGGGGTTACAACGGAAAGTTTGGGAATCGCCTTATTGATTTTTATGCCTAATTTAATACATAATTAGATGGGATTATTCCGGAGATTATCTATAGGTCAGGACCGCTCCTATATACAGCTGCAATAGAGACACACCCCTTTTTATGATTATGCTATGAAGTAGAGTATATGCGTGTATATACAGGGTGACATAGAAAAAAGTACATTGCATATATATAGTGCCACACAGTATAGAGGACACTAAAATAAGGAAAAAAGTTCCTATGAACATGGGTCCGCAAGGCCTTCGGTTAAAAGGTACGGGGTGTTGAATTTTAATGGAAAAATGTATAGGTATATTGATCGAAGTACCTATACAAGAGCAACAATTTGAACATCTTCCAAAAATTTATCATTGTTTTTGCAAAAGTTACTATGGCGCTTATTTTTGAATAATTTGCGTGCATTTGTCGGCTTTTATTAGATGCATTTGTACACTGGAACCATTGCTTCTAGCGACTTATTGGACAAGGTATAACTTTCTTGAGTATAAAAGAATAAGGGATAATAATTTTTTTCCGTCCAAAATGACATACATAGTGTATAGCAAAAAAGTTACGACCGATTCAATAAGGATGGAACCCTGATGTACGTAGCGCCCTCTATCAGTCATGACAAAACTAGGATCATATTTGAATTTAGCATGATGAAAAACCCCTGTATACCACATTTTATCCATTTCTTGCGTACGTCTCTGGCTAAAAATATTCAAAGAAAACCCAAAAAAAATACCTACATTTTTCCATTAAAATCCAACACCCCGTATCTTTTAATCGAAGGCCTTGCGGACCCATGTTCATAGGAACTTTTTTTATTTCAGTATCCTCTATTGTGTGGCACTATGCAATGTACTTTTTTTTATGTCACCCAGTATACAGGGTACGTCAAATTAACCTATCAATAAATAACTCATCAGCGCCCATCAGATAGCACGAATTTTCTTAAAAGCTTCGAAAATGTCATCTTTTTGTAGAATATTTCATATTAAGGAATATTCATAAAATGTTGCGAATATTTATGGAATGTTCCATTCGAATATTCTAATGATATATTTGAAAGTAGGTATATACATACCTTGAAGCTCCTGAAATATAATATTCCAGAATGTTCATGAAATAATAGAATAGAATATTGTGAACATTCATGGAATATTCCTTGCGAATATTATTCTGATGATATTCTGAAAATACGTTTTATATTATTCCTATATGAACTTCACTGGAATGGAATATTCTAGAATGACAACGTTCAAATAATATACTCCATTTCAGAAGAATATTTTGATAGAATATCCTTAGAAAAGATCATAGGATATTATCATCCTGCAACCAATATAATATTCTATATGAACATTCATTTCGACATATATATATACTCAGAACGCGTTCAATTATACTTATTTCAGAAGAATATTTCTGATAGCATGATCTTATAGGAACGATCATAAAATATTTTCATTCTGCATCAATCAATAATATTCTATGAACATTCAATTCGACATACTCCCAAAATATTATTTTCGAATATTCTGAGAATATACAAAATCGTATTTTATTATAAACTATACTCAACACTAATTTCGTCGCACACCAAAATGTCGCTTCTGTTATAATGTGAATAACTTTTTTCAGTTTAGAACAATTTGAATTTGGTTCACACTGTTCGATAGCCCAGTCCTTTAGCTATAATCTCGTACTTCATTGAAACATAAGGGTATTCACATAAAATCTCTACATGGTGTTTTCCGACACTGTGCGAAATTTCGGAATATTCAAAAGGCTCTCAAATGGTGAAAAAAAAAGTTTTCTCAACTTCGACAACAGAGGCATGAAGATGATCTCATTACCTCGAGATATTTCACGAATCAACTTCCTATCTCTCTTATTTACAGGGTGATCTCAAAAAATCAACTTTTTGGTTTTTCAGCCATAACTTTTTTTACGTCAACCGATTTTGGAAATCTTAGGCTCATTTTGAAGATAAAACTTCAGATGAGGAGATTTAAATATCAGAATTGACTCAAGATGGCTATCAAAGATCTAGAGCTTTCTTGAAAGTGACCCAAATCTGGAACGCCCTTCGAATCTTGGTTGGGAGGAGAATTGAATGAAAATCAACTTGTTCTCGGAAAAACAATTCATTCTGGATGCGTCCACATTTTCGTCGCTCTCAGTAGTCAAGAATTGTGCGTGAGAAAACACAATTGAAACATGTTCTTGCAAATAAAACATTAGATCATTTCTACTCAACAATGCATGGCCCGCCGTAACCAACGTTACAAGAATCACAATGAGTGACTGACAAACCCGACCAGCTGAGACTCATCATAAATGGTGTACCAACAAGAGCAACGGATTCTGATTTTTTCAATAAAGTGATTCTTTCAACAGTTGTCACGTACATAACAAGCGATTTAAGAATATGGAGAAGTATTTAAGCAAACAACGTTTATTTATTGTGAAAACGCATTTCAAAAATTAATAAACAAAAAATTCGCGTCGGATATAAGCCCTTTGAATGGATCGGACTGTCGTGTTTAGCAGATCCGCGATTTGGAGGGAAGATAACCCTTGTTCCCTCATTTTCGGAATCAGTTCCAACTGGTCGGTCGTTAGATGCGGCATCGAAACTATCAAAATTTGTTTATGATTCGAAAACGACGTCTAACCTGACTTGTCAGTCACTTTTACTGTGATTCTTGTAACGTTGGTTACGGGCCATGCATTACAGAGGAGAAATGGTCTGATGTTTTTGCAAGAACATGTTTCAATTGTGTTTTCTCACACACATTCTTGAGTACTGAGAGCGAGGAAAATATGGACGCATCTAGAATGAATTGTTTTTCCGAGAACAAGTTGATTTTCATTCAATTCTCCTCCCAACCGAGATTCGGAGGGCGTTCCAGATTTGGGTCACTTTCAAGAAAACTCTAGATCTTTGATAGCCGTCTTGAGTCAATTCTGATATTCAGATCTCTTCATCTGAAGTTTTGTCTTCAAAATGAGCCTAAGATTTCCAATATCGGTTGACGTGGAAAAAAGTTATGGCTGCAAAACCAAAAAGTTGATTTTTTGAGATCACTCTGTAAATAAGAGAGATAGGAAGTTGATTCGCGAAATATCTCGAGGTAATGAGATCATCTTCATGCCTCTGTTGTCGAAGTTGAGAAAAATTTTTTTTCCACCATTTGAGAGCCTTTTGAATATTCCGAAATTTTGCACAGTGTCGGAAAACACCATGTAGAGATTTTATGTGAATACCCTCATGTTTCAATGAAGTACCAGATTATAGCTGAAGGACTGGGCTATCGAACAGTGTGAACCAAATTCAAATTGTTCTAAACTGAAAAAAGTTATTCACATTATATCAGGGGCGACATTTTGGTGTGCGACGAAATTAGTGTTGAGTAGTTTATTTATTAATACCTATACAAAGTTTCCCCTGATCCAAAACCTATTTATAAAAGGACTGTCTGCGCAATATATCCTTCTTATGGAGTACGCATATGTTGACATATCTTGTCATTCATATCATTCGAGGAAGGTTCTTATATACAGTGTGACCCATTTAAGATGGAAGCACCCTTATAAAACTTACATTTTTCAACCGATTGGAATGATTTTTTTTTGTTAGGTAGATATTCAAAAAGTCTATTAGGACACCAAATATCATGAATAAATCTCCATTTCCAGGGCCAACTAATCTGATTTTTCAAGGTCAAAAATCTAAAAAAATTACTAGCGATTTTTTTAGAAAAAATCTGACTACACCACTGGATTTGTGACATTTTCAAATTGGTAACATGTAAATTACGTTGAAATGCGTCAATCAATGAAAAAGTTATAAAGGAATGAAATTTGAAAAATATGCCGTTTAATCAACCCATCAATTTTTATTACTGAACAGATTTCGATGAAACTGTGATCAGTAATATTTCAAGACATCCTGAATCCAGTGGAGTATACAGAATTTTCATAAAATTCCTGAACATGAATTGGTGTATATATAATTTCTATGCCTAGATCATATATCGTAAGATGAGTTCTGTGATCGGAACTCCAAACCGATGGTGACAGTTGGCATTGACAAGCGTCTAGCAAGTCTGTCAGTAATGTTCTGTGAGCAAGACCAGCGAATCTTCAAACATCGAGGTCAAGTGACGTCACCCACAACACTACAGCTGTTAGATATGGTGCGCGCATTCGGCCATTATTACGAATTGAAAATTTCAGAAAAATAACTCGACCGCCTACTATGATTTCCCTACGTCACAACGAGCGAGACGTTAATTCTACATTTTCCCGCTAGATGGTGATGCTTTTATTGCTGCTGAGACGAGTGAAAATTAAATAGCAAATGGCATTTT